GTGTGTGTGTGTGTGTGTGTGTGTGTGTCTGAAAGGGTCATGTGGTGCTGGGCCACAGACCCCGCCAGGCTGGGGAGGGGGGCGGCCAGGAGGGAGCAGGAGACCAGAGTCTGCAGAGCCTGGAACGGCAGGCTTGGGAAGCAGCGGTGAACAGCTGCGGTGGCTGGAACATGAGCCCCCAAGGGTCCCTCTGCGGGTGTTCCGGCAGCTGCAAAGCCTTCCTCTGATAACTGCTGGCTCCGTGACCAGCTTCCCAAGGCGTCTGCGGCAGCCTGTTCACTGCGGGCGCTTGCCTGTCCCCGTGCTCAGCCCAGAGCTGATGTTTCCTCCGGGGATGCTGCCCATTGCCGCTCAAATGAGAAAAGTGCTTGAGGAAGGCTTGCCTCGTCACCCCACACGGGATGGCCAGGAGACTTAGAGGGCTGATGCGGGAGTCGTGGGGGGTGACACAGAGAGAGTCAGAGGCAGAGAGAGAGGCCCGAGATAAAGCCTTAGGTCGGGCCAGGAAGCCAGTAGAGAAGCAGGAGGCTGGGGAAGGGATGGAGAAGGGGCACGGTCGCGGTGGGCTGCCCCGTCTGGGCCTCTTCTCTCCCCCCATTTGCACCTTCTCACCTTATCATTCTGGAGAAGGACACTCAATGCCCACAGGGAAGATTTTTGTTCCCAGGCTCAGGGACAGGCAGGAAGGGATGAGAAAACAGAAAGCGGAGGCTGGAAGGAAACTGGCCCAGGAAGGCCCCGTCCTGCACCTCCTGCAAACCCCTGGGGCGTGATTTGAACCTGCCGCCTACCAGCTGGGGCTGGGGAGGGCAAAGCCCATCTTGGGCCTGTGGCTCCTGGGCACCGGGGGATGGAGACATGTTGTGTTTCCATCCCAGCCACTGCCTGCCCTCCCCAGTTGCTTCAGCAGGGCTGCGCTGGGCATTCCAAAACACAGCTTGAACACATTTCTTTAGAATGGCATACTGCTGCCAAGAGAAAAGAAGTCCCAGATACATCCCAGAGCCAGACTGAAATATACTAATTGGTTTGGTCACTTAATGGTTTGGTCAACGGCCCCTTCCAGGAATGTGGGTAATTGAAAATTAGGGAATAATCATGTCAAAACAGCGTTGGCAGCACAAATGTAGTAGGATGTATAATCGGACTAGTCCTAGAGTATAAAAATGTCAAATCACTATGTTGTACACTTGAAACTGATATAAAACGTATGTCAACTATACTTCAACTGAAAATTAAAAATTAAAAAAAAGAGAAAAGACTGGTCCTAGACCTAATTTTGCCACTTCCCAGCGGGCAGCTTGGGGCAAGGCATTTACACACAGCTCCTCTGAGCCTTTAGGGGTGAATACCTAGCTCCTTTATGAAATGGGGATAGTAAGCTCTACCTCCTGAGGCTGCCAAGTGCAGTCAGTGTGATGTTACAGTCTATTGCTCACTCCCTGGGATCTTCCCCTGGCCACTGGCAGCCCCCCTCCCCGATGCTCACCTCCTCCCTGCCAGCCACCAGGCCCCAGGAAGTATGCTCCACAGCCCCCCAATTCCCCAGCCAGGCCCTGACTCTGTTCCTAGTGCAGAGCCTGCTGGTCTGGGGTGACCATGGGAGGTTGGTCCAGGAACTGCTACAGTGGCAGCAAGGACCCACCCATCATTTCATAGATCAGGAGCTGAGCCCAGACAGGGGAAGAGAGTCAGGATCCAGTTTTTGACTCCCAGTCCAGGTGAAGGCCAGCATTGTGTCATTGATCTTCCCTCCCCTGGTCCTGGGCTCAGAGGTTAATTCAAGCCAATGAGAGAGGGAGGCCCCACTAGCCTGAAGGTCTGGGGAGGTGCAGGAACAGCTCAGACAGTTTAAGGAACCCTTCCTGGGGGAAGCCTGAGAAATGTCCAAGTTACTCATTGATGGCCCCACGTGGAAGGTGAAATGGGGGAGGGAGAGCCTCGTGGTGCCTGTCCCACCAGTCTGCTGTGTGACCTTGAGTGTGCTGCTGACCCTGTCGGCCCATGTGCTCTGCTCTACCCAGAGGGTACACGTGATCACCTTGACTTGGCCTTGCTGGGGTGTTGGCTCTAGCCCTCCTGGTTCCGCGATAAGAGG